TATTAAGAAAATGGCAAAAACTGTGACAGAGTGAATAGGATGTTTAATCTTTCGAATAGTCTTGTAGTTGTTAAGATAATTGACTCTTAGGTGTTTGTGTGCTTTGATTACATAGCTAGCTTTGAGCAAGCCATTGGGATAAGCTTTCAGTTTATCATCACATTATGGTTCACTTATATGAGTTTGAATGGTAGTGTTGGTAAAATTATGTACTATGCACAAGTTGGAAAGATGAGACATTTAATGATTGTTTACAGTATTAGTTGCTTCCTATTATTCCACAGCTAGGATCAATTTAAAATGATACTTCAGTGAGTGTTCAGCTGAGACAGACTCACTAAAACAAGTGCATCATAGGTAACAATAGTAATCCTACTGGAATTAAAAATCAAGCTTTCAGAGATTAACTGCTTACTGTAAAGGTCTAGGCAGCCTTGACATATAAACTTTGCAGCTTGGTGCACCTCACCTTCATTTTCCTGAGTGTAGCAGTAATAGATTAACTTTAGCAAGCCAAGGCAAGGAAAAGTGAACACATAATTATCCAGATATTAAAAAAGGGACATGCTAATGGTTCAGGACAGCTCATCATTATACCAAAAAGAGCTCAGTCATTGGGCTGCAGGTTCAGGGCTACCAAATGTACTGTTCACACCCAAATGTCTGAGTCAGGTTAGCTTTGCAACTGGTGCCTACAAAATTGCCACACCCACTACAGTCTGCATGCACACTATCTACTCCGCCTCTCTCTGCTAGCCTGCTACCTGTTCATATGGCTCCCAGGATGAGGCAGGGTCTTATTAATTATTCCCAGACTGCTAGCACAGCTTGTTCCTTAAAGGTGTAGTACACTTTTTCCAGTCTCTTTTTCACACATACACATGTTGCCTGTGATTATTGTGTAGTAAAACCAGTGGTTGGTGAAACATACTGTGCTGCCTTTTCCAGCATTCTGAACATGTTACCACCTTTTTCTCTGTTACTTTTTTTACTTTTCATGCCAGGCCTCCTTAGGTTATCATCAGCCATGGTAATCTGGTTTGATTTAGGAATCATGAATCTTTGCCCATTTTTAGAACTTGAACTGAGCCATTTTTGAGGAGTAAGATAAACTACAGTTTCTGCAACTGGAGATGCTTAACACCAGTTCCATTCCATGTCCATTGCTCTGTCTCCTTTCCAGAAGTGTAGAGGTATCCAAGAAGCAAGGCAGGTTGCAATGCCTTAAGTACCTTTCCCTTAGTTCTAATCTCAGTCTATCTGGTTTCCTTACAAGGGTCTCATTAGTAAAATCTAAATAAAGCCTACAAATGCTATTTGGGTTTTTTGGGGAGTGGAGAGAGGGGGACTATTAAGTGGCTTGAACATGTTCCCTGCCATTGTTTTAAATGCAGCTAAATGGCAAGGGAGGAAAACACTAAAATAAATAGAAAAAGGGTGCTGAGACACCCCTCCCCCCCATTCTTTAGTACTTTGGGGAAAATTCTGCACTGAGTTCTATTTAATTCAGATACCATTGAAAAAGAACCTCAGCAATTAGTATACTCACTGCTAACTTGGGGTCAGCAGCATCTTCTCTATTTGTTCCTCATAACTTTCAAAAGCTTCAGTGACCCTCCCATTAGCTGAGGAAGGCTCCAGATTAATCCAGCAAGGACTCTTGATGCTGCTCTAATCACCATCTGAAGGGGCTGGGCCAAAGGGATGCAACATGCCCTTTACCCGAGGCTTTAGTGAGGATCTGCATCCAGAACTAAGTATGTTGGGAAGAATTGTGCCCTCTGATTAGGGTCTGTCAAATTTTTCCATCAAAACTTTTTCATGGAAAACTTTGATTTTTTTCCATCAAAAATCCAAATGTATGAAAACTGAAATATATGAATTCAGATATGCAGTTGCTGAACCTCATGTGAGTATTAGTTGCCCTATAACCCCGTTCTCCTGTATTAGCTGAGCTCCTATGATACACTATAGCCAAGGACTCCCAGATGTATTGGGAGAACACAGTGTCACAGTTCAGAGCACCTGCACCTGTATTCTCCCACTGTGGCCCAGTAATGGCACCCAGCAGTATTTCCTGCAGCTGTGCACTTGTGCGGCTATTCAGAAGATACTTAAATGCTGCCCAGCTGATTAGCAGAGCACTCACAGCGAGGTTTTATTTCTATGGTGGTGCACATCTGCACATGCCTTGGTGCACATAACATTTATTCTGCACATCAATGGAAACTATTAGGCTTTGCATCTAGACTGCAGCGTTTTATCAGAAAAAGTTACGCAAATAGCAAACCAGGGCCAAATTTCGGAAAAAACTCCTCTTTTGGAACATCCCTTATTCCTCTCACTGAGAGGAATATAGGGACGCTGAAAGAATGCACTCACTTTTTTGGAAACTGTTCCAAAAAAGCAGACGTGTTCCCTGGAGATGGCAGAGTTTTTTGGGGATACCTCTGGTATACTGGAAAAACTCTGCAGTTTAGATATAGCCTTAGATGGAACATTGGCACCCAGACTAGGCTCCTGGCTCTTCAGCTCTCAAGTAGACACCCATCTCTCTTCCCTCATGATTAGGGTTTTTCTAGCCTGCACACTTCCCTGCTTACAGTGTAATCCCCAGATAACCAGACTGCCTAAACAGGCCAGCATCTGTGCCTTGCTTTCTCTTTGAAGACTATGAACAAAGTTATTGCTCATACTACAAAAGTACTTTCTAAGCTAGCACATTGTTTCTTAGGTGAAAGTCTTACAGAAAAAAAAACATTAAAACAATAAAAGAACCTACACCAGGGGTGGGCAATAATTTTTGATGGGGAGGTCACTAAAGGATTTTGGGAAGTGTTCGAGGTCCGCACTTTTCCAAGATATTAACGGAGATGCGGGGTGTAGGATGGAGGTTGGGTGCAAATGGGAGCATGTGGTAAGGGCTTGGGGTGCAGAAGGGAGACCGGACTCTGGGAGGGAGTTTAAGTGAAGGAGGCGGTTGTGACCTAGGGCAGGGGACTGTAGTGCAGGGGTTTGGGATGTGACCCAGGGTAGGAGGGTATTGTGATCGGGGGCAGGAGATTGGGGTGCCAGATCTGGGAGGGGGTACGGGTATAGGGTTACCAGGTGACTTCAAAAAAAATACCGGACACACTTGATCTCAGATGGGACGACACCAGCTGGGAGGGGAACGGAGCTGGCTGGGGGGATGTGTGTGTGTGTGGGAAACTGGCCAGTGGGAAGCAGGGCTGGTTGGGGGCAGTGGAGCTGGCGGGGAGAGATCACGTGGGGGGGGACACTGGTCGACAGGAAGCGGGGCTGGCTGGGAGCGGGTCGGAGGGAGCGGGGCTGGTTGGGGGAAAGGGGGTCGGGGGGGCTTATCTGCCAAATTATTCAGTATAGTTCTTTGATCATCCAGACCCACAACAATCCAAAACTTTTGCATTTAATACAGTGGAATCCAAATATTTTTAAACTTAATTCAATAAGGTTTTTCATGGATACTGTAGGAACTTGTGAGGTATTCTGTCTGTCTCTGAACCACAATATGGGGAATGTTTGTGTTTTTCTTTAACAAGGAAACATGGAATAGCAGATGTATCTTTGTGGTATGGTGTAACTGGTTCACCCGTTAGTAAGCCGTTACCAATTCCTACCTTGGTTGGTTCATTCAGGTACATTGCCCAGAGCAGCATAAATAGCAGGTGACATTGTCTGAGAAACTTCTAAGACTTTGGGCTTAGATTTCACACTGTCATGGCTAATTGTGTGGGAGGTCCTGGTACTGCTGGGACTGCAAGTGCAAGAAGACATTTTCCCATTGTAGCTAGGCCACTTGGTTCTGCAGATCCTGAATTAGTTCAGTGATCTCAGTGGTGGGAGGGAGAGCCTATAGATTTCATTTCAACTCCTGAAGGCATAGGAGATCCATATTGGCCACTGAGTCTGACAGGTGAGTCTGGCCAAACTGTTGGATACCAACACATTGATTATCAGGTCTAGTGGTTGGAGCTTAGGCAATCAGGAACCAGAACCAGAGCTGGAATCAGGAGTCAGGAGCTGGTGTGGAACAAGGCAAGCATAGGATGAGAAGCTAGGTTGGAGTGAGGACACAGGGACAGCTGGAGTTGAAGAAGAACTGGAGCAGATGAAGGCCACTTAGGGTATGTCTGCACAGTAGTGTTATTTCAGAATAAGTGATGTTATTTTAAGTGATGTCTACATAGCAAGCCATTATTTGGAAATAATGGAGACATGGAGGACCTTTTACTCCGACTTCTGTAACTCTCATTTCACAAGGAGTAAGGGAAGTCAAATGAGGAGTGTTCTTCCTTCGACTTCCTGCTGTGTAGACAGTGCCAAAAGCCAAATTAAACTATTTCGACTTCAGCTACACAATTTACATAGCTGAAATTTATGTATCTTAATTCAATTTTTGCCCTGTGGTGTAGACATGCCCACAGTGTCACCAATATGAGACAGGAGAGAGTTACAAGCCATGAAGCTGCTATTTCTCCTATAAGGCTACATACCTGTTCTGAAAGTCACCAGACAATCCGCAAGCCAGGAGCTGGTCTGGAGTCTAGCAGTAGAATGACTCATCACTGTATATGGCTTAATCAGGCTGTACTTCAGGGATGACTCATGACTTCACAGAGGGTCTGAAAGTATTTGTTAGGCTTAGCTTTTTTCTTGCTTGATTTCTTGCATCAGAAACCCAGGTGTTATCTGTCCCTTTTTAATGGAAGACTATGTCGAAGACTAGGGAACTGGCAGTTTTATGATATTATACATACCAAAGGATGGAGCTTTGAGATGGAAGTGATTCTTATCCATCCATTTGTAACAACTTTATTTCAGTTGTGGGTACAAATCAGGATAATTGCACATCTAAATACCAGGTTGTAGATACAAATGACAGTGCAGATGTTCTTAATGCATAAGGGGCAGCTTTGTAAGGGGAGGTTATCCCTAAGCTCTGAAAAAAAAATATTTTTGAAAATGTCTTTTTAATGCAGATATCTGAGAAGCAGTTGGAAGAACAAGAATTGGGTTGTCTTCTCTGGTTTACTCTGAAGTCTTACTCTACTGGAGGATGCATGGAATGAGAGATTTCTCTGCTCTTACCTGAAGGTATTAAGTTAAATAATCTGGAAATCAACAACCAACTTTTATTTTGAAAAGATCCTGGTTATAAGCAAGTGAGGGCAAACACTCAATTTTCCCTCCTTTTCAGGTCACCCAGAAACAACTAACTATCCAGAATGGGCTTGTCTACTGGTCCTCAACATTAAAATAAACAACAACATACTTTGTGGTTCAGCTGTTCAAGCAAAATATCTCATTCCTATTGTTAGAGAAAGCCTTATTATGTGAAACAGCTATAACGATTTCATGAACGCACTTCAATGTCCCCAAGGAGTGTAGGGGGTGTTCAGCCAAAGCAAATACAATCATCTTCCACGTACTGCTCTTGTTACATATACTAATTTTTTCTATTGCTGTTACACAAGCTGTGCAAGACATCTTGACATAGTTGCTTGATGCCAACAATGCTGTGTGTCAATATAAGGAGGAAACTGTATCTCATGCAATTTTAAAATATGCTTCTACTTTGACAGAATTATAGAACGTGCAGAGGATCTGTTGTGCCATTTAAGTTTCACTTCCTGTAACCGGGTGGCTTGAGCTTGCAAAAATATCACAAAACCAAATTAAAACAATAACAATAATGTTGTGGTTCAACTTTCTAAGGTCCAGATTCTGATCTCACTTATATGGTGAAACCTAGAATAGATAGTGGCCCTGATACTCTGAAATTAAACTAAATAGAATAATGACTCTGTGACCACTAAATTGAAGAAACCAGTGAATTAATTTTAACACATAAATGTAAGTCAACATCATTCATAATACTGCAGAATTTTGCCCTGTGCTGTGGATCCAATCTTTTGTTATCTTGACAAGCAGTTTAAAGTTTGAGGTGGTCTTGAGAAATTAATGCAATAGGAATGATGAGTTTGACAAATACTCTATTGCCTAAAACAGTGATAAGAAGTTACAAGATTGTCAGGAAATTTAGGCAATAATTCAGGAAAAACTGATACAAGCTTTTCAATTCTTCAGTTAGGCTGGGGATATCAAAGAAGTTTCAGACTTCTAGATCTAGTCTTCATTAGACAATTGTATATCCTTAACAATAGCAGTGTAGTTAAAATGGTAAACCTGCTTAGAGTGATGCAGTTATACCCATGGTAAGTAGACATCTGGCTAACTAAAATCATATTGGACCATGGACATTGCCAGACCAGAGAGTGTGCTGGACTAGAGAATTTTAAGCTGTATGCAGCCGCTCTCATAGTTACAAACAAGTTACGGACCAACACTTGGTCCGTAACTCGAAGTGTTCGTAACTCAGATCCCATAGAGTTACATGGCGACTGTGCTGTTCATAAGCACGGATCGCCGTTTGTAACTCAGATCTGAATTTACTATCGCTTTGGTTGTAAGTGTGGATGGTCGTAAGTGGAGGTGGTCGTCACTCGGGGAGCGGCTGTAAATATGATTATAGAATGGGAAGTGAAATAAGCAATATATGTATAAGGCACTTTTATACCAGTACTATTGTGGTCATACGAAGGGTTGGAGCCATATCACTGTCACAGATCAGGGCAACTGCACCTGTATTGCCCGTGTGTGGTTGCCAGCTTCTCAGCTATCATCTCTCTTCCTTGGCTGGGGGTTTTGCAGGCTGCACTGATCCCTGCTTAAACTGTGATAGCCTAGAACGCCAGACTGCCTACACAGCCCAACACTTTTGCTTTCTTTTCAAAGGCTATGGACAGCTGTAATTCCAGCAGCTGAAAGTTACCACATAGCAAGCACATTTATCTTAAGGTGAAAGCATTATAGAGCAAACATTAACACCCATAAAAGTTCCTATATGTGCATTAACATTACCAGAGGTCACCCACCTGTCTTTGGTGTCCTCTTTGGCCAAGTCCTTCCAACCCTACTGCAAAGATTCACTAGAAGCTCTGGTCTGTTTTCTGGATCAGAAAGGCAGCACTGAGTCAGTTTAAACTCAGACTAACCACCAAAACATCCTTTCTTGGTCTGATAGTCTTTGGAGAATCTAGTTTGAGCCATGCAAGCCTCCTGAAGAGATTGTTACCTTTCTGGTTGGGTTACAACAGGAGTGGTGAATAATTTTGGAAGGAGGGCCACTTCACAAATTTCAGAAGTGGATGAGGGCCGACCTGGAAGGGGCAGGGTTAAAAACTACCCTGCTGGGTACAGTGACCTTATTTTCTGAACCAGCTGCAGCTAGTAAGAACAGTTTAATTTAAATTATAGAACAGATTAAGTGTTTTAACTTTCTTATGTTAGTTTATCAAACTTCATTTTATATAAAGTAAAATATTATGTCCAACACAAAAGGTTTCAATGTTTTCTTTATTTATGGTGGGGGTGGGGAACCCTTTTTGGGTCTGGGGGCACTGACCTACAAAAAATCAGTTGGGGACCACACAAGTGAGAAGCAAAAAAACTCCTCCAATGCTCACTGATGTGGACCCAACTGAGACACCTCACTCCTCTGTGCCCCAGCCTCATAGGATAAGGAGAAAAGAAGAGGGGACTGATGTTCAGGGCTTCCCATAGACCAGATTTACTTTTCTGGGGTACTGGAGTTGGTGGATTTTATGGACCTCTTTTGGCTCTGGGATAGGGACAAAAATGAGGGGTACAGTGTGCAAGACAGGGCTGCCAGCAAGTAGGATATGGATGGGATGAAGGATCTGAAAGGGAGCTGGGGTGCAGAAGCAGGCTGGGAGTAGAGTGACTGGCCAGGTGGAGGGAGTAGGAACAAGGGATAGAACACAATCATACATAAACCATGTATTTAAAACAATGGACCCCAAGGATACTGCATGGGATTGGAGTATTCTTCACATCTCCCCGATAAATAAGTTAGATAAAATCCTGGCTCACAAACATAATAGTATTATATCCTTCAGGGATTTTACAGATTATTGTATCTGTCCCAATAACAAGTTGGCAGGGTGTGGAGGGAGAAATCACATCCTACAGATATAGTTATACCAGTAAAAAAATGCACTGAATGGGCCCTGTTTTGCTGTGCTTGTACTGTGTCCTGAGATCCCACAAGCCCACTGGCTCCCCTCCCCCCCAGCTTACTGCTTTCAGCCTGCCCACTGGTGGGTGAAGCCAGTCGATGGAGAGAAACTCTCCACCAACCAGTGGGCAGGCTGAGAGCAATAAGTGGTGGGTGTGGGTGGTGAGGGAGTCAGTGGACTGGTGGGGTCTCAGGACACAGTAGAAGCACAGCAGAACAGGGCCCCTTCTGAGCATGGGCATGGCTTCATGGTGCCATTGTAAAACCAGCACTGCCCCAACTAAGCTGAGCTGTTGTAAAAAGACCCAAATATACTAACAACCCCCCAAAAGTCCAAGAGTTTTGCCTTGTCCCTAACCTATGCTATTATCTGGTTTTCTTGTGTTATTGCAGCTCAACCATTGGTCATGTGGCTTGCAAGTGGTTAGTACCCATCCTCTGTCGATTTATATTATCCTGACTCTGACTGATTATCTTGAGTGTTCCAGCAGAATCTGCAGAATGCCAGAAGGCGTCAGCCCCATACTTTATTTTTTAAATGGAGCTTTCACAATGTCGAGGGAATCACACATTGTGGCACCATTATGCAAGATGGCAGAATGCAGTGATGATGTAAATTGGTTGATATTGTGATGTAATGAGTTTGTCCGAAAGGACAAATTGAAAAGGTGGCAGTGCTGATGATTCTTGGTCTAATCTGCCAGTTCAAAGTGTGAAATTATAACACTGGAAATGTTCATCACAAATAGGATCAAGCACAAAAAATGGGAGAAGTTTATAAGAACAGGGAAATAGCTTGTGTAAAAGCTAGTTAATGTAGGATTTGTTTCCTTAGTTTGGGTGATGTTTAAAAATGTTAAATAAACAAACAGGTTTGTAATGCCATTTAGCCCCTGACATAAACAAAGACATTGATGTTTTAAAAATGTGTTAGTTGGTAATGGCTGGTGCTCGAATCCTCTTGTAAGGTTTATCTAGATTAGGAGAAGAGAGTGAATTAAATCAAAGTTATCAAACCCTGATTTCTTCCCTAGCGTAGATGCAGGATAACACATTTTGTCACAAAGTAGTTGGTGGTGGGGATTCACAAATATTTTTTTTAAAATAAGCAGGCGGTAACTAGTTCATTGTTTCTTACTTTGGAATACTGTCAGCATTAGCTCTGTACAGTATTGCAGTGTTAACATTTCAATGATAAGAGTCTTTGAAGACTTGATTTTGGAGGCTTTTTCTAACTTGAGTTGGGCAATCATAAGTTAAGCAATTCCCTTTAGCCTAATTTGACAGACCATGACCGCATAGCAGAATAGCCGTGGAGATCTTTGCATGTGCTGTCACACTCCAACTCCTCCAGTTCTTCTGTAAAGAGCTTTTCCACTCCATTGTGCATACTGTCCATTCAGGTCACTGGAGAGATGTTGCAGTTTTGGGGCTGAGGTGATTCTCCAGGCTGGCTGCTCACAGCTGAGGTGACAGGTTCTCTATCCTTGCAGATATCCAAACTTCAAATCTGCATCCATGCTAGCTCCACCGTTGAGTCCAGGTTGAAATGGGATTGTGTGCTAGGGGCATTCTTTAGCACATGATTCATCTCATCTTACTGGGGCTATGTCTCCCGTACGGGGTGGTCTACATTACACTCCGCCACATCCAGGCAATGCGTCTGCTCTTCTGCTTCTTCTTTTTTTTTTTTTTTTTTTTTTGCAGAAGAGAGACGTTCTCTTTTGGAAGCCCTGTCTTCCTCCTTCCATGAGGAAGAATGGCTCTTCTGAAAGAGGAGGCTTTTCCGAAATTTCGCCCATGTAGACAGGCCACATTTTGGAAAAGCCTCTTCCAAAAAAACTATTGGAAAAAGGTACGCAAATTGCAGAGCACAATTTGCATACCTTTTACCTTTTTCCAATAAAACCTTGTAGTCCAGACATAGCCTGGGGCTGCACAAGACTTGGTCTTCTGGTAGATTGTCTTGAACTGTTCATTTTTTCCTCTCACGGTTGTCCAGTCCAGCTAATCCCAAGATTGGGTTGGACTCAATTTACAAGTTAGGTTTTCATACTTTAGACATTCGTCTTCTGGATCCCACAGCTGTGGGTTGGGCTTACTTTAGTCCAAATGTTGACAAGTCCTTTGGATCAGCCTATAGTCAAGTGACTACATATTGAAACATGGTCTTCTTGATGATGTTCATCTCCCTGTAGTAGGTTCCTCAAGTAGTGTGGGACTAAGGACACTGAGTGGAATGATATGTAAGGCAGGTGTTATCTGGTCAGGGGACAGATCACAGGCACATGGCAAGACAATCAAATGCTTGAATGCCTGAGTTCTTGTTGCTAAGACTTGGCAGACCATCATCTATTGATTATTATGACTGGCTACATGTTTTCAATGTAAATGTCTGAAGGTAGCAAAAAGTCGGGAAAGCTAACTTGTAGGTTTGCCCTGTATTTCACAATGTGGTGGCTTCCTTGCGTTGTGGCACTACTATGGCATGATTATAGAGAGTTGGTTTCTGAATGTTAGCAACAGAAACTTCAAGAATCACACTAAATTAACTCTGCAGTGAAGACAAAATGGCAATGAGCTTGTGGAGTTGGAATCTCTCTTTCTTGCTGGTAACTATATGAAGATAGATTTCAAACCTTTATTGGATCAACAAGCAACAAGTTCTCTTCTGCAGAGTTTACCCAAGACCAGCTAAAATGATGTTGAAAATTACTTGCAAAGTCATTGTTAATGGTGTGTGAATTGACATGACTCCACAGCCTTGTAATTTTTTAAGCAAAGATGTATGGGAAAAAATTTAGCCCACTACAATGTACTGATATATATATATAGCTGTTCTTTTCCCAGGTAGTATTGTTGGACTCTATTACAATGCTCTTGCTAAATGGAATCATCACAGAAGACTGCAGAAGGAACCATTCTTTGACCTAACAAGCTAAGTTTACAGCCTAATCCCAAGATAATCACGACATAATTGCAGTGAATTCTCCTCTCCCACTACTTTTTAAATGGAAACTGTGGAGACTTAGGGCGTTATGGACATATTTGGGATCAGTTATACTTAAAAATAAAACCTCTTTTTTATGGCAGGGTTTTTTTCATTCAGTCCTAGGATATTAGAAGTACAAGGTGGGTGAAGTAATATCTTTACTGAACCAACTTCCGTTGGTGAGAGAAAGAGCTTTCTAACTAAGATTCCATCATTGAGAAGCTTTCATTTCAGCCTTTATCTCTTGAGGCCTAATTGCTGCTAACTGGGCTTGGGTTAAAGAGGGTCAGTGTTACAAATGTGTCCTCTTGTCTGTAGCTGAGAAGTGATGAAAACAGTTCCCATGAACGCAACTTGCTCTGAGTGCTGTACTGTTTCCCTATGGGATTAGCAGCTCTGGATGAACAGAAGTTAAACTGAATCAATGTTAATATGCTAAAAGGAGGAGGTGTTTGCTTAAGTCAATTTGAATTAAGAGCTCTGGACACTGACATAGAAAAGAGAAAAACTGGCTTGATTTTCCTGTCTAACCACTGCTGAATCCAAATATTATTTTCTGGTTTATGTCTTCCTTAAATGTCAGCAGTAAAATTAACTTTTCAGTGCCCTATTCAGTCTGTGCTCAATTGCTACGAAAACAAGGTGTATTGAGACTATATTGGAATGGATCCAA